TGTCAGAGTATTTGCCCATATTTGGAATATTAATAGCAGTCTCTTAGGATATAAGTAAAAGGGATTTATCTTACCATACCCTTGGCTATTTAGAATCCCAGATCTTGAAGCAGTGTTTGAGTTTACCCCTGGCTTTTTGGGGATGGGTTGGGCTGGTTATTTGACTAGTTACACTGGAGAGTAATTGTTTTTTTGCCTCTGTCTGCAGACAAATGTCTTGTTTTTCAGATAAACCACATTCATTTTAAATGTTCCTCCACCCCAGGCTATTCTTTCCCACCAAGAAAGACATGAAGATAATCAAGATTTCCTTCAAAGTAATAAAGGAGGAGAATGTGGAAAATGATAAGAGTTTAGAATGAAATCCTGTGTATTTAAATGCCAGTATTTAAAAATAAAGATTAAAACCCGCCCTCAAATGAAATGGGAGTGGGAATACTTAGGTATATTTTAAGCTCGTAAATAGGCTTGTGAAGGTAAATGTCTTATCTCAACCTCTCGCAAAGTGATATGTTATAGATGCTTAGTTGCACCAAAATAACAATTTTTGAAATAATTTATATATACATACATACTTGTGTACATACTTTGTGTATGTAAACATATGTCAAACCCTGATATTAGTAGTCCTATCACATTGCAGTTCTCTATGAACTTTTATAACTATTGGGGCAATAAAATAATCTGTTCTTAAGGTTTCTTATGCCTGATTCTCTCAGATGCAGTGAAGCATTAGAAAATCTGTACAGCCACCCACCGCAAAAGCTAGTGATCCTTCCCTTTCATTTGAGACTACGTGATCACATCAAGTAAGCAATGGGTGAAGTATCTCCATTGAAAGCACTCCAAGGGGTGCTATGGTATGTATGCTATATTTATATGTATATCGTTTTAATTACACTTGAGTTAGAATGTCTGTTGTGCCAACTAAGAGAAGACACTTCAAAGATTACATTTTCCCCAATACAACAGTTTTGGTGGGCACATCTCTCCCTCCCAGGTTTCCCAATAACAAGGAGACTACTATCATTACCACGTCCACTACCACCACTTCTATATAAAACTTCCAAGTGTTTCAATTTTAAATACTTAGTTATTACAGAAAAGCAGTCTACCCTGTTTCCACAAGGAGGGGTTGCACTGTTTCTTTCTGGACCCTGAAATCCAATTTCAGGTCAGTCTTTAGGCTGATGAGAGCCAATGCGAGTCTGTGTCCTGTCCTATAGACTGTGAGAGAAGATGGCCCTCTGCCCATGTAGTAGGGTTGAAGACAGGGCCTTCAGATCTAGATCAGTCCTCTTCAGTGGAAACTATGAAATTGCAGGTTACTGTTGTTAGAATACCCTCTTAGGAAAAAAAAAAAAAAGCACAAAAAAACACTGAATAAAGAGACCAGTTTCATCATCATTTCTAAAAAACTCAATAGAAACTATCATTCCTTAGAACTCTTTGGATAAAGCTGCATATTTTTTACTCTTATTTAGAAAATGATAGGCACCAGTTAGTTAGGGGATATACCCAAGGACAACATGAATATGTAAAAAAATTTTTTTTCTTACAGTGGTGCCTGTTGTGGACATTTGTGGTTTCAATTTCTGAATCTTGAAAGATCTTGCTAAGACATAATTTGTAATTTTCCTAAAGCCTAAATTTGATTTGCACAAGATCAATGGCTGAAATGGGATATTTTCTTCGTTTTATAGTAAATTGAACCCTTGTATTCATTGTGTGCCTCTGAATTCTTGCAGAGTGGTAAAAAAGATATTTTTCTCTGTCAAAAATCAGTCTTGTGATTTTGACAGAAATGAAATTGTGGTTGAAATTTAAAAAATGAAGAGGTCTAAGAGATGATTCTTGGTGACAATTAGGAGTCTTGGCCAAATTAAAGATAAAAACAGCAGATTCATTGTCTGCTTAGATTTAACTATGAATAAGTACACATGGAAAAAAAAGAAGCAACTTCTGAAAGTATTTCCTATGATGCTCCAGCTAATAAGAAAGCTGTTGATGGACTATTACATTGTATGGGTTGAAGTCACAGTATAGTGGTCTGAAACTTGGATGTTTATAAAAGTCTCAGACTTACGTCAGTCTGTCTTGGGTTTACTCTGATCAAACACTGTCTAGTGGTAAGTAGTCCCAGTTCTGGAGTCATACTACCAGAGTTTGGATTTCTGCTCTGTAACGTGTGACTTTCAGCAAATTATTTAACCTTTTTGAGTTTCAATTTCTTCAAGTGTAAATGCTGATAATAAAGTATCTTCTATTATGGTTGTTATAAATTCAAATGAGATAGTACTTGAAAGAGATATATAGCATGGTTCCTGGCACATACTAACCACACATTAAGTTGTACCTTGGAGAAGGGCATGGCAGCCCACTCCAGTATTCTTGCCTGGAGAATTCCATGGACAAAAAAGCTTGGTGGGCTACAGTCCATAGGGTCTCAAAGAGTTGGATGTGACTGAGCACACATGCATGCAAGTTGTACCTGTTGTTTTTCTTATATACGTATTTAGTGGCTGCTGGCTTCCCTGGTAGCTCAGAGGTTAAAGAATCTGCCTGCAATGCATTAGACCTGGATTTGATCCTGGGTTGGGAAGATCCCTTGGAGAAGGGAATGGCAACCCACTCCAGTATTCTTGCCTGGAGAATCCCATGGACAGAGGAGCCTGGCAGGCTACAGTCCATGGGGTTGCAAGAGTCGGACACGACTTAGCAACTTAGAGAGTGACTGCTAGCAGGTGACTGCTAAGGTAGAATGGTTCCCCTCTTAGGGTGTTGTTCAAATGAAACTGCATATACAATTATGGACAACCATTTAGTCTATTAATGGAAAACAGTAGGCACTACAGAGTTAAGAAAGACTAGAAAGAAAAATCTGTTTCCCAAATTTTTATTTCTGTCCCTGACCACTCCTAGAACTTGTCCTTTGAACTTGATTCTTGCCTTTTCCATTAATCTTGGTAATAGCAGCACCATTTACTCAATTTAGTCCAAATTTACCCAATTTAGTCTAAAATCTAGGAGTTACTCTTGAATCCTTTATTTTCATTACTCCCCCGTATTTTGCAAGTCCTGCCATCCTGCCTCCAAAATGTCCATTTACTTCTATGTCCACCACTATTTTTGTGGTTCAGATCACAATTATTTGTCATCTTTAATACTGTAATAGGTTATTTATTTGTTTGCATCAGGTCTTAGTTGCGGCATGGGGGATCTAGTTCCCCAATCAGGGATTGAGTCTGAGCCCCCTGCATTGTGAACACAGAGTCTTATCCACTGAACCATGAGGAAATCACTGTCATAGGCTTTTAATTAAGTCTTTCTGCCTTTATGCTCCTGTGACCCATTCTCTGCACCATAACCAAGTTGCTCTTTTAAAACAATATCAGATCATGTCATTCCTCTGTTTAAAACTTAATTATAGTGGCTTCCTGTCTTGCTTATAACAAAATCTAAACTTCTTAGGCTCATCAAAGCTAAGACATTCTGCTGCTTCTCTGACTACAGCCTTTCATCTCTTCCTTGCCTTTTTTTACACTGGCCTTCCAGTTATTTTAGTAGTATCTGTCTGGAATCCCTTCCTCACTTTGCTCTTCTTTGCTATTCGGTTTCCTCCTCCTGGAGGCCTTTACTGACAACAAACTCTAAATGAGCCTTTCTCTGTGTTGATCTGGTTTTAATTCTCTGCATAGCACTTATGAGCATTTAATGATCTTATTTATTTGATTTTTCATCCATATCCCCTCACTAGAATGTAAGTTCTTTAAGGGCAGTACATATTCTTGGTCATTGCTCAGTCTCCAGTGTTTTGAGTAGTAGAGTAGAACTCAGTAAATATTTGTTGAGCTAATGAGTGACTGATGCCTGCCCCCTCTCCTTTTTTTGGCTATGCCTTGGATTGTGGGATCTTAATTCTATGACTAGGGGTTAAACCCCTGACCTCTGGTGAAAGCATGGAGTCATAACCACTGGACCACTAGGAAATTCCTGAGTGATTGATTCCTAAAAGCTTGTTTGTCAAGTACCAGATTTATGGTAAAATAAAAATAAGAAAACATCTTTTACATAGAAACTATACTTCATAAGATTACCAGCAATACTTTGAGTAGCGCTATTTATTCTGTGATGTCCTTTTTAATTTTTATGTTAAAATGCCCTTTTATAAAATGATAGTGCTGTATTCAGTTATGTATGTTTAAATATATATTTAAATACATATTCTTGGCAGCATAAATGGGAAGCTGTGTTGTCCTATACTTTTAGGTTGGAAGTTTTCTTTGACTTTTAGAGATTTGTGGTTCACTGAAAATAAAGAAGCACTGTGTGGGTGTTCTTGGGAGGGAGTTTTGCTAAGAATTCTTACTAAATAAAGTTCAGTCAATCAAATGTTATTATATTCTTCAAATTCTCCTGGGAAATAAATTGTCAGTTTCCGTTTAAAGATTAGGTTCTGTTTGAATATGTCATGTTAAAGTGAAATGTGACATAAGAATCTACAGACAATAATTTAAAGGAAATAAAAATAGTGAGCCTCGTATCTTTTGAGGTAATATGTTTAGCGATGTTTCTTTGAATAACCTTGAGCATTATGAAAGCTAAGTAAAACTACACGTTTTATTTTCATTAAAACTGACAAACTCTTAAAAAAAAAATCTACCTAATTTGTATTGAGTCACAAGTGGACAGTTTTGTACACCCCCCCCACTGTCCAGTAAGAACTGAAAGGGACCTGAGATGTTGACTGTAACAAACGATCTTGCATTTCAGATAAGGAAACTAATGGTCAAAAGGCATACTTTTTTTTTGGTAGGCCTAGGCTTAGAATTTCCATCTCCTTATTCCTGTGCTTCCCAGGTGGTGCTTGTGGTAAAGAACCTGCCTGCCAAGGCAGGAGGTGTAAGAAACACAGGTTCCATTCTTGGGTCTGGAAGATCCCCTCGAGGGGGGCATGACAGCCCACTCCAGTATTCTTGCCTGGAGAATCCCATAGACAGAGGAGCCTGGCAGGCTATAGGCAGTCCATAGGGTCACAAAGAGTTGGACAGGACTGAAGCGACTTAGCACGTAAGCATTCTAATTTTGCTTAGTTAGGGATGTAATAAATTTTTGCTACTGTTAATGCGAAATGAATAGTATACAAATCTTTGTTCACATTTGCTCTATTTTATCTATGATAGTTTCCTGAAACATGGAATTGGTGACACATATTGCCACAAGGCTTTCTAGAAATGTACCATTGTATGGAAATACTTGTTTTATTGAACCCTTAACAAACTGGTTGTGTTTGAAGAGAACTTTGCTATTGTTTTGGGGTTGGAAGCATTTGTTGAAAAGGTAAGTCTACATATTTGTTATAGTACCCATAAATGTATTTAACTATTTGGGGATTAGCTATCTACGCGCTTTTAGTGGCAAACTAACCACATGATTAGATAAATAGAATATTTGCTTATCTATCTTTACATGAGTAAATTATTCTGACCCACTGATCTTGATTCAGCTATTTGAATTGGAAGAAGGTTAGTGGAAGTTAAAAATTCCAACTGACTGCTTTTCCCTAGAGTGACTGAATAGGATTGAAATAGATTGCTTAGAAAATTGATCAAAAGTTTTTTAGTAGTTACTCAGTAGCTAACCGTGTGTTCATTCGTATGTGTATGGTTGAAAAAAACTGGGTGGAAGAGAGGGTAGGGAAAGATTAGAAAAGGAGCATGAAAAGCTGAGGAAAGGAACATGCTATGAATAAAAAAAGCTGCTGCCTTTATCTGGAAAAACATGTCTTTTATCTCTACCTGATTGACTGTAAAAGAACGATCACACATGTACCCTGTTTACTGAAATAACATTTTTATATCTATACCTGCTGAAATGAACTGTTACTTGAGTACATTTTAAATAATATACTTTTTTAAAGTTGTGTTGACTGGTTTTGAGTACAAAAAAACAAAACAAAGTATTAGATGCGAAGTGTCACTTCTCAAGTTGTTTTTTAAAAAAAAAAACTTTGAATGTGATATTTTAACTTTATTGAATATTTGAACATTGCAGACTTTTATCATCCCTTAATAATATACAATATACTATATTTGTTTAAAAGCAGGGTTTCAAATCTAGCTTTTTTGTGTACCACCTTTCTTTACCTTTATTATTAAAAATAAAAAGTAAGTGTCAACAAAAGCATGAGTAAAAAAGTTCATTTATTTTTCACAGGGCCAAGTTCATGTTAGCTTTCATATCATGCTTCTCAGAGATATAATTTTAACAAGTGTGGCAGTAACAAAGTAATAATCATGTCTTGTGCTAAGGACTCTATTAGACACTTTACTAGAATGAATTGTTTTAATCTTCTCAATGCCATGAAAAGTATGTAATGTGTAAACTCATGCAGGAAGTCATGTAAGGGTTCCAAATCACTTCTGTCTTGCTACCTTTATAATCTTGCTACTTTCCTTTACAGCCTTGCTACTTAGCATGGCCCACAGAGGAGAAGCAACTGGCAACATCTGGGGGCTTAAGGAAAGGCAAAATCTTGACCACAGAGCTTGCTGAATCCCTATTAATAAGATCTCTCAAGTGATGTGTATTAAAGTCTGAAAAGCACCATAGTACATCCCATATTAAAAGTTGCATGGAGATTTTGAAGTTTTTTCTGAGAATTATTCCTGGCTTTACTTTAGTTCATCCGGGTTGTGGTTGTTGTTCAGTCACTAACTTGACTCATGCGGTCCGACTCATGCGGTTATCTATTAACATTTTCCCTTAGAGGAGAAGGCAAACTGTTGAATTAGTCAATGTCTCCACTGCTTCAAATTGCTATCCTGCTGCTGCTTTGATTCATGTCCTGAGGAACAACTGACTAGTTCTGCTTGTGGACATTTGGTCAAAGTCTCAATCAGCCAAGACTCTGTTTTTAATAGCCTTTACTTGTGGACTAAACACATCAGATTTATAGTGCAGGGCTTCCTTCTAGATAGGCATTTTCCAAATTAAAGAAAATAATGTTAAAAAAAAAGCATTTTTGAAGAAAACTTGAAATGTTTTGGAATACTTACATTTTAGATTGTAAGAAACCACAGATTTGTGTAAATTGATCTACTAATTTAATTTTGTGAACATAATTATTCTGTCACAGGGGCAATGATAGGTAAGAAAAGCAAGGCTGGCTTAGAATAGCACTGTCAGGAAGATATGTAAGACAAAATTAAATTTCTAGTAGCCACATTAAAAACTAAACAGTTTAATCTTAATAGGCTTTATTTAACCCAGTGTAGCAAAGTACTATTTTAACATGTAGTCAACATATATATATATAAACTATTTCTGAGATATTCTGTAATTTTTTGTACTGTCTTGAAAAAGTACATATTTATCTGAGCAGTGTCTCAGTTTGGATGCTAAATTTTCCACAGTGAAATGTATGCAGTGAAAAATACTGTGTTTAATGGAATAATGTTTTACTTTGCTTTTGGTTTTAAAATTTAAACTAATTAAAAGGAAATAAATATTTAGTTCCTTCAGTCACAGAATGCCCATTTCAATGTTACATGTTGGGGTGTGTTTCTAATGTAACTGATTTCAGATTATGGAATTGATCCCCATCCAAAATGCTTAGGAAATGAATGCCACTGGAGGTTATGGTCTGTTTATATAAATATTTGTACACAGAATAAAAAGGGAATAAACAAAAGCTATTTAGATCATAAAACGTTTATTTCCTAACGCCCCCATGTCAGTCCTTCCCGCAGTTGGAATTGATTTACCTGTCTTTTATTAGTGGTTCACAAGTCCTTTTACCCCCGCCAAATTGCAAGGTTAGCGCCAAGAGTTAGGTTCTTCCAGTTTCGCCCTGTGACTAGATGCTTGCTCAGAGCGCTGCATCCTTTTCAGGAAAGCGAGGACGTAGGACAGTGTGTCGAGCTGGATAGTCTGGGCTAGTTTGGCCTGGAGGTTTTAAAAGCTACACGTGTTAAAAATACGGGAACTTGTTAAAAATACCATTGTACGGGCCTCACCTTTCTAGGTTCTGATTCGCAAGTTTATACTGAGACCCTGGACACTTCCTTATAAGCTGTCCTAAGTGTTTTTAAAGTCCAAAACGTTTGAGGACCACCATACCCAGCATTTGACTCTTAAAAGGCTGCGAGTTCTAATTTAACACGTCGTGCTGCTGTTGCCACGCGATCGATTCTACCCGGACTGAGGTTGCCAGGCGGCTGCTGTTTTTCTGCAGATGGGTTTTCAGGCTGTTAAACCCCCTCTCTGAAGACTGCCCTGACATCGCCCCCGTCCCTAAGCCCAGTTAGAGCGACCTGGGCTGGCCGAGGTAGACAGCGCCATGTGACTGATAAACCGGTTGCCTTTCGGGGCGGCCATTTTTGAGGCGGGCACCCAACCTCGTGCACCGTAAGCCGGGAGCGGGAGGTAGGCAGTTACCAGAACTCAAGATGGCCACCGAGCCCGCTAGCCAGCCCGCTAGCCCGCGTGCCGGCACGAGACGCGCGGGCGGCTTGCCGTGGCCGGCGGCGCCCTGGGCAGGTCCTCGGGCCGCCGGCCCGGGGCGGAGCGCCCGCCCCTTCCGGGCGCGGCCAATCAGCGTGAGCGACCGGCTCGGCTGGGGCCGCCCGCGCGCGGGGTGTGTGAGGACGCGCTCCCGGGTCGCTGAGTGCCTGAGCCCAGAAGCGGTGGCTGTGGTACCTGCTGCTGCCACCCGTGCGGACGCAGAGCATCGGACGCGAGCGCTGTCGCGTGGGTCTGGAAGGTGAAGCTATGACGGCCATCAGGTAATGAGTCTGGGCGGCAGCCTGAACTGCGGGTTGGGTAGGCATTAGCCTCTCGGCTGCTGAGAACTGTCGCTCCTGCTCTTGGGTGTTCTGGAGCCTCCCGGTGCCACCGGTCCCCCTCATGTGGAGGCTCTCTGCACTTTTCATTTGATCTTTTATGCCTTCCTCAGAAGTTTTGGGGGCTGAGGCACATGGCGGAGACCTCTGAGTAGCCGCATAGCTGAGGTAACCCTCGCCCAGATTCCGGGTTTGAAGCTTGCTGGTTAGTCTAGTGGATTTCTCATGAAAAATGTAGCTGTCTTCCCCACACCCCCCCGGATGGCCTGAGGCCTGGGAAGTGTGACGTGCACCGGGCGTGTCCATGCCCGCGTGTCTTGCCTTCTGACAACTTCGTTGGTGGCCCAGTGCAGACCTGCAGTGTTGGCCCTTTGATGCAGATAGATTGCCCCGAAGTTTTGAAATTGTGTGTCCTCACAGTGTTTGCTTATGACTGGAATTAGTACTCTGGTTCCCAAGGTACCATCTGTTTACCTACTTTTATCTGAGAGTCCCCGCAAAATGAGTTTCATAGTATACAATGAGAGCAATAAACGGAAAAACTTCACCTCAATTGCTCTTCGGAGTTTGGAAGGTTCTTTATTGTTAATGGCCCGGTCCAGTGTCTGTGGGTAGCATTGACCAAATGGTTACCTCATACTAATGCAACTATTTATAAAAAGATAAATCTAAACAAAAAGAAAGAGATAAATTGCCTTATTTACCCAGTGTTCTGAACAGCCTCTTTTATTTTATTTTATTTTTTTTTCCATTTATTTTTATTAGTTGGAGGCTAATTATTTTACATCATTACAGTAGTTTTTGTCATACATTGAAATGAATTAGCCATGGATTTACATGTATTCCCCATCCCGGTCCATGTATTCCCCATCCCGGTCCCCCCTCCCACCTCCCTCTCCACCCGATCCCTCTGGGTCTTCCCAGTGCACCAGGCCCGAGCACTTGTCTCATGCACCCAACCTGGGCTGGTGATCTGTTTCCCCTAGATAATATACATGTTTAAGTGCTGTTCTCTTGAAACATCCCACCCTCGCCTTCTCCCAGAGTCCACAAGTCTGTTCTATACATCTGAGTCTCTTTTTCTGTTTTGCATATAGGGTTATCGTTACCATCTTTCTAAATTCCATATATATGTGTTAGTATACTGTAATGGTCTTTATCTTTCTGGCTTACTTCGCTCTGTATAATGGGCTCCAGTTTCATCCATCTCATTAGAACTGATTCAAATGAATTCTTTTTAATGGCTGAGTAATATTCCATGGTGTAGAGCATTTGACTGCAAACAGCCTCTTTTAAAGTAGACCTTGGCCTTCTTGGCCTTCCCTGGTGGCTCAGCTGGTAAAGAATCCGCCTGTAATGCGGGAGACCTGGGTTCTCCCCCTGAATCGAGAAGATCCCCTGGAGAAGGGAATGGCTGCCCACTCCAGTATTCTGGTCTGGAGAATTCCATGGACTGTACAGTCCATGGGGTCGCAAAGAGCCCCACAGGACTAAGCGACTTTCACTTTTTGACCTTCATTGTCCCAGAGAAAGGGAGGCCCCAACACAAATGTGAAGAGAATAAATGAAATTAAATTTTGCTCTGCAAGCTTCCAGCAGCCTTGGTCCTGGTGATTTAGTGGTTTCTCACTGGTGATTTTGACTACACAGGGTTTAAGAAATTACTTTAGAACCTAACCCTCAGGTAATTTAGGATGTAACTGTTGAACTTGGATGCAATTTCTCTTAAATTGCATAATTCTATGTAAAGTCAGAGTACTTACCTCATTATGCAGAAGGAAGATGGGGATACAGTACTGAAATGCGGCAGCTTCCCAGGTGGCTCAGTGTAAAGAATCTGCCTCTTAATGCAGGAGACCCAGGAGATGCCAGTTTGATCCTTGGGTCGGGAATATCTCCTGGAGGAGGAAACGGCAAGCCACTCCAGTATTCCTTCCTGGAAAATTGCAAGGACAGAGGAGCCTGGTGGGCTACAGTCCATGGGGTTGCAAAGAGTTTGACACAACTGAGCACACATACACTGAAATGTGGAGATCCACATGGAAAGATTTCACAGTATATTGGCATGTATAAATTTGGCTTTTAATGCTAACAGTATTTTAGGGTGAATTAGGATTATGCTGTTAAACCTAGTCAGTGCTTCCTCTCCCCATCTGCACTTTCAAATCCCATCATTTCAGTCTGCTACTAATTAGGAGTGTGGAGCAAATACTTTCTCTGTTAAGGGTCTCTTCTTGTGTGGACTTAATTTTAATCCATCATCATCATCCTGGCTACTCTTTGGTGGAGAAACACCCAAATCTAAAACTTCTGCTGCTTGGCTAGTGACAATAGGATGTGTTTTTTAATGTAGAGGTTGAATGGTGGTTGTATTAAAAAGACTTGATTTTTTTTTTTTTAAAAAAACATGTGTTTTTGGCTGCCTCTGGTCTTAATTGAGGGTGTATGGGCTGTTCTCTAGTGATGGTGCTCAGGCTCCAGAGAGCCACAGGCTTATTAGGTGCAGGCTTAGTTGCCCTGAGGCATGTGGGATCTTAGTTTCCCAACCAGGGATCAAACCCATGTCCCTTGCATTGGAAGGCAGATTCTTAAACCACTGGACCACCAGGCAAGTCCCAGAAAGATTGATTTGAAGGTTAATGCTAGTCTTATTTGACTCTTGGAAGGGTAGATAACTACTAATAGTTACATTTATGCTTGTATCTTCAGATATTAGTCTACATTTTGTATAGTCTTCAGCTACAGTGACATTACTCAAGGATTTTTAGATGTTACCTAAATTCAGTTGCCACATTTATACCTGAG